TTTTTTTTTTTTTTTTTTTTTTCTTATTTCTTACCTTTGCTCCTTTTTTTTTCTTTTTTTTAGTTTTATTGTTTGCTACATCTGATTTCTCTTTGTTTGATTCTTTTTTCTTTTTTTTTTTTTTTTTTCTTTTAGAGTCTTTGAGTCGTTTATACGTTACCCTTATGGGCGGACTTGCATGCCAGAAGTAGATATTGATAATATTATTATTATTAGTAATAATAATAAATACCCTGAATACAGTGAAAAAAAAAAGAAAAACCCTTTCTGGAAAGATAAAAAAAAAAAAAAAAATAAATAAATAATAATTCCCCATATCATTATATCTAATTCCATAGTATCCTGTAAACATTCTTTTTTTTTTTTTTTTTTTTAATGACTTGTTGCTTCTTCATCATTCTCTTCTTCGTCTAATCGTTCTGGTGAGTGGAAATTCTCCTATGCAATTTTTTTTTTTTTTTCCTTCTTCCTTTTATTTGTTTTTTTTATTTTTATTTTATCTTTCCACAAGGGAAAAAGGAGTGTGGGGAGGGTGGGGTGGATTTTGTTCCTTTTTTCCATCTTCAATCACCAAGAGAGAGAGTGTAGTGTAGTCCTCATATATGATGATGACGTACAAGAGAAACACCAGTGGCCTTTTTCGCCATTTCAAGGCGCCATTGACTCTCTCAACATCCCCGTATTCATCTTGTTTGGAATGTGTTCAAAATCAAAGACGTTATCGTCTTAGTATTGCCACATCCGATGGCACTTCAACAAACTTAAACCTCAGCAGTAGCGGTGGTATTATTAGTAGTAATAATAATAACAACAACAACAACTCAGGCTATACATGGGTATGGAATGAGACTGAGAACTGGTGTAGTCTCTGTCGTGAACCCCTCAATAGTTGGAATGAGCACCGCGGGAAACGTGATCACATTTGCCTTGAGATGTTCTACAATGCTCTTGTGCAGTACGGTCGGCAGTGGACACCGTCAACGCTTTGGTGGGAAGTGGAGGAGTGCACACTTCTTAAACGAGGCTGCACTAGTTTACCATGCAAGAGTCAAGAAACTCTTGGTGATTTTGTGGGTGGTGAACCTTATTTTGATTATGTTGGTGGACCAACTACTGGAGATGATAATCTAAGCAACTTAATGAAATACTATGATCGAGCTGAACACTATGGGAGACGATTAGAATTGTATACATGTCTTCAACATCTTATTGAAAATGGAATAGTACGTACAGATCGAGCTTCAATAAGTGGAGGTGCTTCTTTTCATGGTTCTCTTGTGACATTTAAGGAACTTTTTCCAAATCTTGTTAATATGTTTCCATATGCAGATGCCAAGGAAATTTCTGCATTAACGCAAATGATAGCATCTACATATAATAGTGAGACTGTATTTGATCTGTGTAATTTTAAGATGCTTATGCCAGTAGATCAAACACAAGAAACATCATCAGGAATGGTAAAAAAAAATATATCAATTCCTTTTGAAGAAAAACAAGAAAATAATGTTGTTCCTGATAGTGCTACAGGTGATTATTCATATCATTTAAAAGGTGTTTTCTGTCGTGGTGTGATGGGACAGTTACGTTGGGCTTTGGAGCCTGATAGTGTGGCCTCCCCTTTGCGAGGCAGTGAAGGAAGAGGAGAAGGAGGAGAGTTATTTGATCATTATCATTGGCATGTGCTTGCGGAGCATACATGTCGGGCACTATTGGCAGAAATGGTATTTTGTCGTGTTTCAGAATATGTGGTTCGAGTGGAAGGCGTTTGGCGGCAACGTGGACAAGAGATGGCACGGAACTCCACTTTATTGGGGGATAAACGTGAATACAGTGAGCTTCAGCAATTGGCAACCAATTGGGGAATGCTTAAGTATATGGATAATCGCTTCTATGACCCGTCCTTTGGAAATCGTTTACCAAATGATGGAACACCCAAGAGGAAGCGGGCTCATGGCAGATGAAAAAAGAAAAAGAAGAAAAAAAAAATCTGAGTTGATGGAGTTTTCTTATTATATATATATATATATATATATATATAT